GTTGCCTGGACTTTTAGTGGTGTGGAAGATCTGGTGATTAGAAAATTGAGGAGGCTGACACATGTTCGTGTCGTCGGTTTAACGAGTGAATCAGACACTTTTTTTTTATGCCTTATTCTTGTTATTTAGTCATCCTGAGGGTTTGACTTGACGTGAATGAAAATAATGACAGGTGAGTAATGGTCATTTTCAGATGACCACAGTTTGGCTCTGTTAAAATGCTGTCATTTAAATGTGACAATAATAAAAAAAAAGAAGATAATTTATGAATTAGCGTGAGCCCCGCGGTAGTTCGTGGAGTTGTTAGTGCTCGAGATTTACGACAAAATGATCACTGCCCCCTGGTGGTCTCTCGCACAGTCCAAAAGACTCGCATGATTTAGGCTAACTGGACGTTAGCAGGTAGGAATGTGAGTGTGAATGGTTGACTGACTGTACATGTGGACCTATGACAGACCGGCAAATGGTTAAAGCCCCGCCTACACCGAGTGGAGGCTGGGATTGGCTCCCACCACCCTGACAAGAACTAGGTGAAGGAATCTGATTGAGTGAGTGATTTTTTTTTTGGACATTTACTAACCATGACTTCTTTCTTCTTTTTTTTTTCAGTCCCTAAAATAACAGAGGAGGGATCCATCCATTGCCAAGGAAGTGCCTTCAAATCCACAGCACGCACATGAACCTTCTTATATACAGTATTCTTCATTTTTATCATCACTATGACGGAAAAATGCTGATGGACTGTTGTTTGCTGGTTGTTTTTGGATGGATTTCCTTTTTTTTTTTTTTCATTTCACCAAAGCAGTATTTCTGAGAAAATACTGACTCAACATTAAATACACATATTTATTGTCAGGTGTGTATATAATTGATCCACAACCATTACGAATGGAGTTATTTTGTTTATAAAAGTCATATATTTTTCCATGAGGTTCCTCTCAGGCTGTTCCACTGATTATTCTGTTCAACACGATCTGTGACGCTTCTTCATTCTCCTCACTGCATTTTATTTGGCACTTGAGTAACTGCTGACGACGAGACTGTGTGGGATGACAACCAGTTGTGGTGATGCACTGCAGAATTGAACAATAAACAAATACCGGAGCACATCGCAGTTCTCGGTTCTTGGGGAAAGATATTGTTGAAGATGTGTGTCTTTAAAATTTAAATTTAAATTTTTATAAATTTCAATTTTTTAGATGGCACATCTGCTGAAATACACACAATACCTTACTGCCTTTCATTGGTGATTGAGAGAATGGTTTAAGGAAATGGTTCTCAATCTGTGGTACGTGTACCACCAGTGGTACATGAGCGCTCTCTAGTGGCACGCAGGGAAAATTCATATTTTCACATTTAAATTTTAAACTAAATAAATCTGAAACATACCGTGCACAATCAATACAACATTTGAACATAAACATCTTTATAAAAATGGTGGTAAAAATGAGTATAAAAAGTTTGAGAACCACTGGTTTAAGGAACATGTCGATGACTCATTTCAAAATGACATAAAAGACAAATCCATTAATGTCAATGACAGTATAAAGTTTTGCTATTTAACTGCAAGCTAAATTTTAGTGGAACTTTAGAAAAAAAAAGTCAAAGGTCAGTCACACTACTGCGTCATATTACATTTGTTTAAATGGTTGAAACGTCACGATGGTCAAGAGATTCAACTCTGAAGGCCGCGGTCCCCTGGGCTAGCCGTTTCAAAAAAAACAAACTAAAAATATTTTGGTCGCTAGGCTAACAATCCACCCATTCTTAATAAAAGCTCCAGTGAAGTTTGCAGACCGGTCAAAGTACCAGACACATTTCTCAGATCCTGTACTAAATCCTTCATAGATTTTCTGTGAAGTCTCAGGTCAGTGGTGCTTGAACAGTAATCTCCAAGACAGAAAGGAACCAACGATCAAAGAGCGTCTCTGTAACGACCTCATAATGACTGGAGATCTACACCCCAAGAACCGTATGTAAATGACAACACGCAAAAAAAAAAAAAAAAGGCCGCAGTGACTCATGCACGCCACCATATGGTGTCGTTTTGGGTTTGATTTCTCTGCTCCAAAAGTCATAAAGTACGTGATCGCCTCAAAATATATGATCTGTCAAACACCTTCAAAACTCCCTAAATAAAAAAGGAAATCAAATGTTTAAGGAGCCGCACATTTACTCAGTTCATAACAATCACAGTAACAATGAATGGAGAGACATTAAGAGGGTGGCCTTCCCTGGTTAGGGCTATAAAAGGATTAGGCGGCTAAAAATATCCGCCGCTCCTCTTGGGAAATACATCGGGAATCCCTTTCCCTCCAGGTGGGCAGAGCAGGGACACCAGATCCTAATCTGAGATGGATATCGCTTATCTGAAGACAAACAGCACAGATTAGGAGAGGAGACAGAAGACGCACCGGGGACAGCGTGTGGGAAGGATCTAACACAATTATACTCAAACACTCAACGCCTCCTCTGACGCCTCTCTGAGTGATGCTGCGGCAGTGGTGGTAAAGCCAGACCAAAGCCTGGCTCTGGAGAGAGGAAACACCCCTGAACCTTCAACAACAGGTCCACGATTGTTCTCTGGAAGAGGCAGAGTTTCACATTGTCTTATCAATGTTTTTATTCTGGTGGAGGAGATGGGGGGCAGCGGGGATAATTTGAAGCGACACTAATGCTGGTCTTATGGTAGTCTTTTAACCTCGGCGGCTGTGATCACAGCTCGTTAGGTCCAAGGATTAAAGAGATTCTTGTCTTTATATGGCTTCGAAATGAGACCCACGCCATAATGGAAAAAAAAAAAAAACAACCTAATAAATATAAATATATAATCTGCAAGTATTGAACACAGATTATGAATAAGAGCTAAAATTATCATGTACACATAAGCCCCTCAAACGCACAATATTTCTTCAATATAATTTATTCTTTTTTTTTTTTTAATTCATCTTTTATTTTTGGAGAGCCAACGGGCCTTTTCCAAGTTAATCACCTTGGAACAGATGTGCTGAAACACTGTCGAAGGCTTATTGATTCCTTCTGTCTCATGATTAATTCATGGCTTTTCTTACGCAGTCCATGAATCCTTACATGAGTCACAAAAATCTAGTCAAGGCTGCGTAATTATTATGGCAGTCGGACGGTAATTGAATTATTTTTATGTCAAACGTCTTTGTTTTCTCTAAGTTAGGAGGAACGAGCTCCTTCAGAATCACAGATGAAGATATTGAACAGTTTAGGAATCCGATCAATTTTGCAGATAACATTTTTTGTGGGTCGCGTCTTCCTGCTTTTTTAATTTTTTTTTTTATAAACACCAGCCACAGCATCTTTGATCCCATGTGCTGGAGGTTCTGGCACCGCTGATCTGCCTGCCACCCACTCTGCACGCCCCATACTGAGAGCTGCAGAATCAGTGACGCTTGTCGACACTGATGAAGACCCCCGTTCCCCCGCAGGCCGTCGTTCAGCTGGAGCTCTTTCATCCGTTTACTTAAAGTTGATATGGACGTCTCAGAAACTGTTTCCTCTCTTTAGTGTTTTGCCAAACAGGATGTGATGACAATTTGGCTTAAAATGCCTCGCAAAGTAATTTTTTTTTTAATAAGAGAAACAAATACCAAAATCCGTTTCTTCAGTGTTTCCTGCCTCACATGGACAACTCTTCCACTCTTTGGAATCCATCTACATCATCCTGTGTCAACACCACTCAGCAGAACAGGCGGTTCCAGACACCATCCTTTCATCCACCTGTGGTTATAGTTATCTCTACAGGAAAACCCAACCTTCACACAGCAAAACAACACAGACAGACTCCAGGGAACACCCAACTGCAAACCATCAACATCCAACCATTAGATCAGGGCGTGGTCACTTCCTGTGTTTTGAGACTAAATACCAGAATTTATCCAGCAGTTAATTAGAATGAACGAAGACTCTTGGATGAGAGGACTGAGAACCCACGGAGACAAGAGCAAAAAGAATTTACTGGATGAGACTTTGACATAAAAACACGACTCCTTGTCAAACTGAATCACAGTAGAGGCTGAAATTTAAAAGACAGTTGTGGGCCAAACAAAAAACAAGTTATTGGAAACAAACCACATTTGTTTCCAATAAAATAAATAAAAACTAGTTCTAATTCAAATGCAAAAAAAAAGAAAAAAAAAAAAGGACACAACGAGAATTAAATCGTCAGAATTGTTAATTACTTGCCGTGAAATTGCATGGGATTTAATCGCTGCATGTAACCCTTCATTGGAGCATTGTTTCCCAAAGACTGGGTCGTGGCCCTCAGGTGGGTCGCAAGAGTTTTTTTTAAAAATTTTTTTGGGCCGTCTCACATCATGTTTCCCAGGAGTTTACGAATAATGTCTATTGACTTGGGTCGTGAAGGTTTGTGACTTTAAAAATATGGTTCCCCAGAGCAGGTCGCATTTGGCCCACGGCTCTGAGTTTGACGTACGTGCTTTAAAATCTCAGCTCTCCAGTTTTGCAGGTGATTAATAAGAGTCCTTTTGGTGCTGCTGTCTCCTGTCTGTCGAAGAATAAGGAATCTCTTTCTAGTTACACTGATCCAACGTGGCCCATCTGCTTTTCAGCCATTGCCGTGATGAATCACATTATTTGAGCTCCAGTAATGATGCGCATGATGTACTTAACTCAGTGAACATCTCTGGGATGTGATTAAACCAACTCTCATCATCTGCTCTGAAAATGAATCCTTCAAGTTTCTTATATCGTTGTTTACCGACTCCATTTTTCAGGGTAAATCTCTCTTCGACCATTTGTCACTTTTCTTTATGATGCAGAACTCGATTGAAGGCAGTAAAAATACGACAGAATTTAAATAAAGCACATGTAGAAGATGACATCAGACTACTACTGTTATAATACAAAATCATTTGCTTTCAAATACACATACGTTTTTTTGTACAAAAAAAAATGGCAGGAATTAAATCGACATTTGTACAAAAAAAATGGCAGGAATTAAATCGACAAAACATTTTGTAAAAAAAAAAATGGCAGGTTTAAATCGACAACAAACACAGAGAAATGACCAGCAGGTGACCAAGGTGTTCGCTGTAAGTTGTCATATTCAGAAAACAGATGAAGCCTGTGGTCAGAGAATAGGCTCCGTGTCATTCCAGCTGACCACAGCACCGGGCCACCTACAGAAAAGGAACAATTACCTATGTGGGTTTTATGTAAAATAAACAGGTATCTGTCAGTCCACGCAGAGTTCATCTGAACAAGTTCATAGATATATATATATTTTTTGGTGGTAGGTGGTCGTCCAACATGACATGCACCCACATTTTGTAAAGGCAAATGATTTTAAACTATTTGGCATGTTCTAAATGAGAATGTTAAAAATCAACACCAGGCCTTTTTAACCATGTCTGTCTGTCTGTCTGTCTGTCTGTCTGTCTGCCTGTTTGCCTGCCTGTCTGTCTGTCTGTCTGTCTGTAGCAGCCTGGGTGGAAGCAGGAGTGAGCGGAGAACGAGGGAGTGTTCCACTGAACGGACAAGTTGAAAGAAGTAGCACTTCACATAATAATATAATCCGTCAGACATTTTCTATGGGTCACAGAAGTATATGGAGTCATAAGCATATACCGTCTGCTTTTTTTCTCCCTCCATTTCTTTTGCGAGGTATTGAAGTGCAGCCCTCAGATTACAAAAACACAATAACAAAATGTACATTATATTTGATGCCTTCTATGGTGTTTTACTGTGTGTCTTTACCGTGTTTGGATACAATGCTCCAGTGGTGGAGTGAGGTCTGTGTCGAGGTCACGTTGGCTCACGGTTGATTTACTAACAGCTGTAATGCAAAAAAAAGTTTAGATTCCAAAGCAACATTTTCTAAGTTAATTTACTGAAGACAAAATTTACACAAGACAAGACCAGAATGTGAGAAAAGTTCCAGGACTTACAGACTGTGAGACGAATCTCTTCCTGTTGATTGGCCAGTCCATCATAATAGTAGAGGTCAAACTCCAGATATCTGTCAGGATTGGTCAACAGCTCCCTCTGCAGGCCAAAGAGCACACTGAAGTGGCTCTCACTGCACACCACCCAGATGGGGCAGTGGGGGGTTTTCATGTGAGCTCCTACCTGATGGTATAACAGAGTCAAACACCACATTATCTTTTTTTTTTTAAATCAGGCCTCAATAATATTTTCTCCAAATCTTCATAGTCCTGATCAACAGGTCAACTGCAGCAGAGTGTCTCACCTTACACCCTAACCCTAACCCTCCAACTGCAGCAGAGTGTCTCACCTTACAGATGTTGTAATGTTCAAACAAGGACAACAGACCGACTTCACACTGGCCTTTGATTCCCTTCAGCAGCGTCACATTCCCGTTGCCCGAGTCCAACTCCATGTCACCGTCAAAGACGTTAGAAACCGCTCTGCCACAGAGCAACAAGTTGACCAGTTCCTGTCAACACACAGAACAATAAAGCTGTAAAACTGACAGCAGCTGGTGCTACAGTAAACAGCTGTGAATGTTTCCAACCTGAGTGCAGTAACCATGCGCTCCGATCAGTGTGGTGGTGGGGACGTCCATATCCTCCTTCACTCTGAAAGAGACCATACAGAGTAAATATTGTAAAAATGGTTTATTAGAAAATAACTTGAGAAGAATCCACTCACTTCTCAATAGTTCGAGACAGAACAGCAGATACCGTCAACAGGAGGCACCCTAACTCTGCGCTCTCAAACTGTGGGGGAAAAAAAGGGGATGAAAGGTGAGAAAGTTGGTGAATATTGGTTCAGAATTAAAAAAAAAAAAAAAAAAAAAAAAGGATTTGAACCATCTCACCTGTTCAATGTGCTGCTCTAAAAGCATCTGCAACTCCTCGGCACTTTCCACAGAGAATATAGAGATCTGACACAAATAAGATTAGACTTACAGACTGCTTCACAAAAAGTCAACAGGCAGTAAACACAGACAGTTCAGCTGTTAAGTTGAATAACTATCACTGTACATATACATGAAGCATCACTCTTCATCTGCAGCAGTTATACCTTCTCCAGCACACTTTCTGGTCTGTAGCGTCCTGTGGAGCTGAAATGAGTTCTTCCTGAATTCCTGTTCAAAAAAAAAATAAAATCATCAAAACATAAATCACTATGGTTTGTCAAATATGTCGATATATCAAAAGCAGACAGATGTTGATAACGGTTGGTACTGTTTGTGGTACAGGAACTGAGCTGAACCTTTTTTTTTCTGCATAAGTTGATTTTGCTGACACTGCCTTGACATTTTAAACTCTGATGACCCTTAAAATAAGAGCCAAGTATTCACATGCCCACGGCCAGTCATGAGGTGTTGGTGTGTATTTGTTGGACATCTGAATGAAGGAGGATTAAAAGGTGGGAAATCTTACACTGCAACTGTAGCTCGTTCTTCTTGGCCAGCCCTCCACAGGATCTCAGCCAAAGCAAAAACAAGATATTTTCTCCTGGCACCGGTGGAAGGTGTTAGACTTCTGAGAAGAGGATTAGAAAGGAAAAAGTTGGTTGTCTGTCTTAATAATACAGTTCATTCCAAAATTCAAAGCTCAGTCGTTAGCAGTGGCTCAGCGGATCTTAATGTGGTGTAATTGGCCGTAAAAAGAAGAAGGGAGTGATTTCTTGAGGACAAAGAGTGTTCGCTCTCGTCAGGTCAGAACCAAAGATGTGAATCAGACACAAACGCACCTTGGGCCTGCGTCGACGCTCTCCGGGTCCTCAAAGAGCATTTTCTTCAGGACAAATGCCTGAACGGATGCCAGCACTCCACACGGACCACCCTTGAATATAAAAATACACAGAACAATAATTAACACTAAAAAAATACCCTTTTCATAATTTCATAAATAAGGAATCGTTTTGTATATATATTCGATTTTTAGCAGTGCTGCTGGAAGAACCTTTTTTTGCACAATTCCATATCTTAGATCGTGTGTTTCTGAAAATGTGAAGCCCTGGTTCCTCCACTCGGCACTGAAACACTGTTGGCTGGAACCAAGCAGAACTGTTTTCAATTCCTAAACAAAGAAACAAATAAGACGCTGAGCAAATAATCTACATTAGTGACATGAAAAAAAAAAGGAATATAAATGACCAACCCTGGCAGTGTGCAGGTCTATTGGACTGCCTGTGTAGCTCTGCGCTCTAACAGGTCTCTGAGGGGACACTCTGGAAAGTTCTGGTAGATCATCATCAATATCATCTGGAAATGCAGACGCAGACCATTAGCTTTGCTAAATTAAAGGCTGGACGGTGGAGAGACACCAGATGGAACCTCGTCTAATGGTTTGCATGTGCACAGGGAACATACCTAGAACCATCTCAGTGACATCCAAGTCGCCCTGATTTGTTCTGCTCTTCATCCTTAAAAAAAGAACAATAAGCAGACGTTTATCAACGACAAAAGCCTGAAATCAGTAGAAAGACATGCTTAGCATAATAAACCAGATGAATGAGCGAGGTCAAACATCTTCTAATTATTTACTTTGTTGTTTTCAGAGAGTCTTGTCCCGTTTGTTCAAAGCTGTTTTCACTCTGCATTTTCTCTAAGGAAAGAAAAACATCCTCTCGTCTCACTGCTTCCCGGTCAGCTAAGACCATCGCGCTCAAACCGACAACCGTTTTTATTTGGTGCGAATCAGTTGGAAGGAGTCCATCTCCTGAGGACAGGAGTTCTTCTTTTTTTCTGAGTCGCAGCTGTGGAGTCTCAACTCTGCGACTCGGTTTCTTTTTGCTTGACTCCTAAAAAAAAAAGAAAAAAACACCAGTTGTGAATGTGAAGAAATAATTGAGGTCTTAAAATATACAGACGAACTTTACTTAACCCTGCACCTGAGAAGTACTGGCTATTGGTCCAGCCATCATGCCACGTCTGATCCGATTAGCCTTGCTCCTTTGCGTACTCTCGTTGATGAGAGTCTTATGTTCTGATTCTCTTCTAAGGACGCTCTTATTGTCAGGGAGTGGAGCCAGTAGTGGGTGACCTTTGTGGTCTTCTGAATCACAGGCCCTTAGATGAGTTTGGTTATTTCTGGGAAGGCTGTCAGCTTCAAGCACTGATGAGGTATACATTTGCTGAGAGAAAAAACTGATGTCTTCCACATCAGACCTGTAGAAAAATAAAACAAAAAAAATCTATGTGACTACAGCAACAGTGGACAATATGAACCCAGAAGGTGATTTTGAAATACCTCAGGTTTGTCTGTGAGTTAGTAAAAACGTCAGCTGTTCCGTCTCTTGGCTTAGTGCGTTTCAACACCGCTGGTGCAACCTGAGGAGAAGGGAAGGAGCTCAGACCCACAGAACTTTCACTGCTGACTTTGCTGTGATGAGGACCAGAGATGTGATGTTTCACGATGATCTCCAGTAAAGTTTTGAAGGGAGAGCTCTGGGCCTGAAAAGACACAGAGACAGATAGGTCACCTTATGACTTCACAGTAATCCACAGTGTCTGGAAATGTTGTGAAAGCCTTTATATTGGGAAGAGTGCTATAATATTTACCTTGTTGTCTTTATAGAGATGCTCCATGTTCAGAATTGTTCTCAGATGTGACCTATTGTTGATGCTAGCATCTGTCCGTGGATGCTCCTCATCCATGCAGGCAATCGTTCTCTTTAGTCCCTGGAAATGAAAAGTAAAGTAAAGTAGTAAACATTACACCGAAGTAAACATTAAATAAATACCACTAACTTCGGTCCTAAATGTAAATCACACACAATTACGTTTGTTCACAAATGTAATTTACACACCTAGAAACGATTTTATGAAATATACATTTTCTACAGACTTGTTAAATGTTATATATATATAAAAAACATTTTCTCTAAGAGTCAAAACAAACAGTTCTGCTACACGTACAGTGCATGGAGTTAAAGAAAGAAATATAAAGTTAAAAACTGTCCTAACTTTTGTGATTTACGACACGCCTTTACGGGATATACATATTTTTTAATAAATACCTTACATCTAACACGAATATGACGCAAATATGTATCTTAAGCTAGGGTTCCAGGACTGATAGCGGCTACTAAACATTAGCCATAGCTTTACCAACCTTACGACTCAGATACTCTCGCACCAGCGACGAAGACACCTCTTCAACAGAAACTACCATGACTGCTTTAAAATACTGAATTAAAAAAAAAAAAAAACGTCAGCCACGACAGCAGCAGGAAACACAGGTCTGTTCTAGGTAGACGGGTTCATGTTTTTCTTTTTTTTCTTCTTCAAACGTGGGCTTCGTTTCCATGGTGACCGAAGCATCTTGTTCTCCTTGTCAAGACAGAAACCACATGTGCAGGTTAGTGCCACCATGTGGTGCTACTCGACCATTACAATGCCCGCAACGATTCAACCTCTAAATTGAGAAGTGGGTTATGAATTAGCCTTTTTTTTTAACAATAAATTTGGGCCCAAACTTCACGGTATATGACACCAAATGTCGTCGTGTTGTATTGTACGTACTGCACCCACTGCATTAGAATCGAGGCAATAAATGTTGTTTGGTACGTTGCTAAGCAACCCCAAGTTTTAGTGTAACCAAAAGAGGAGAAAGCTAAGGGGGAGTGAGCAAATCTCAGTAAAAAAGAACTACCACAAAAGTAGCTTAACCTTAAAGAAACAAAAGTTATGTCAAGTCAGGAAGAATCAGCAGACGTGGGCAGAGTCCTGGCTTTTCTCCGGGAATGGGACAGAGGAGACAACACGGTCCGGAGCCGCATTTTGAAAACATTCCTTACACAAAGCTCAGAGAAAACTTTCTATCAACTGGAGTGTGAGTTTGCACAGATCTCGAGTCTCTTCCTGGCTCGACTCACCACCTGGATGAGACTCACGTATCCTTTCTGCTCAGCATTTATTGCAACTGTATTTTTTTTTTAAATGCTAACGTTAATGCACCAACTGTGGGAAAAATCTGTATCTAAAAAAAACCCACAGCTGTTAAGTCTTTAATATACGCCGTATAAAATACGACAAAAATAAAATTACGGAAATAAGTCATACGTCGACGAGAAAGACGTAAATTGTTTTGATGTTTTGTCTTAATGCTAAATGCCATCTCTCTGTAATTGACGACTTAATTCTCCGAAAAATTACAAATATTCTTGTAATATTACACATTTAAATACATGCATTTTTTTACAATTTATACGCACACAAAACTTTATTCTCATAAATCTAGTCATTCTTTAAAAACATTTTCTTCTTATTATTTAAATTTTTTTTTAACCTTGTCCTGACCTAATCCTCAGATATATGTTTGGAACACACTTGGGACTCCAGTTAAAATCTGTCCAGGTTTTCCTGTCTGCGTCAGGCCAGTGAGTGTAATAATTAAAAATTAATCATAATTAAAAAACGGTTCCTAACATTTGCTTTCCCCCGTGTGTGAAGTGATCAGTTTCTGATGGAGTTCCTGGAGGATGGAGGCGTCCTCACCCTGCTGGACATACTGAGCCACACGCACAACAAAGAGAAGGCCAATGAGGTCGCTCTTCGTCTTCTTCTCACTGTCTCGAACGCTGGACGCAAATATAAAGAGTTTATCTGTGAAAGTCGAGGTAGGTTTTACTGTTCCTTCCAGTACTGACGTAAACTAGAAAAGGGTCTTTAAACTGTCTGTCTGTCTGTCTGTCTCACAGGTGTCAAGGTGATCGCAGAGTGTCTGACCAAGTCCACCAGAGTGGAGAACAGACAGACGGCTGTGGCTCTGCTCGAGTCCCTGTCCCATGGAAACCCCAAACACCAAAATCAGATTTACAAAACTCTCATCACCGTCATGGACTGTAGCTGTCCTAATGTCCAGCACCTGGTCCTACACACTCTTCACATCATTCAGGTTCATTGCTGTAGAAGACATCCTCACTTTTAGATTGTTAGAAGTTTGGATGAAATGCGTTCTAATGCAGATTTGATTATTAAAAACTCTAGATTGGCACAACAAGATATTTAGATGCATTATAGTAATATGACAAATAATTGTCCCTCACAGTCCAAGATGAAGACCGCTCACGAGAGTATTGTGGAGCCGCTGTTGAACGTGCTCAAGTCCTTGCACCTGGAAGTCCAGGATGAGGGTAAAATGGGAATCATGGTAGTAAAAAATGCAGTGGTTGCACTAATTTAACTGTCAACAATATTTAACAAGAGCGTATCTTTCTGGCAGCTATCAACCTCATCCTGCTCCTGAAGTCTTTTGAAGTGAGACCATTAATTGTCAACGGTCTTGTTTCTCTGCTGAAACCAGCGAAAGAAGAAGAAGTGAAGTCAAGAGAGATCACAGAAGGTGACACTTCAACAACAAAAGTTTGACCTTTACAGTATCACTGGTAATGCTTGGGCTCCCTCTAGTGATACACATGATAACGTGCATCTGATTTTATTTCATTTTTAATATAGCCTATTAATTTTGGGGATGACAAAGTTTCAGGAAATTCTACTTTTATTAGTGTAAACATATAACGTTACACTTGTAAAATTTAAAGGTGTAGTACAATTATTTTATTTTTTCTTAAAACGATACAACCAGATCCAGAGTGTGTCGCGTCCCTGCCTGTGTTTATGCAACAAGCTGCTGCAGCTAAAGCTATAAGGTAGGGTCATTTCTATTGATGTGATATTCAGAAAAAAAAAGTAAGGCGGAATTGTTACAATTTGTCTATTTATTATTATTTCAGGTTGTTGGCTGAAGGAAATCTAGAGCTTTCTCGTGAATTTCTATCTCTTGGTGTGATTGAACATCTTCTATTTGCTCTGGGTAACCACGAACACACTGACGCCCAGGTACAAGCCAGCCTGGCCTTGGAGGTACAGAACATGTCCACGTACACAGATGGACACATCCTGTACACAAATACTGTAAATATTCACTTAAAGACTGCTGTCTTGTCTGCTCAGCACTTTGTCCGATCATTTCCTGCCGCAGAGGAACGTGTTCGGAGTGTGATGGGATATGCACTGTTCACAGACTTCATGGTAAGGTTTCTTACCAGTTCAAGTTCTCACAAAGCGATCAGACAGTATCATATATTGTACTAATATTTTCAACCCTGGTTTCTACAGACCAACCCCAAAACACTGTACATGAATCTTGACGAAAAACGGGCAGAAACCCTACAAAACAACATGGTCTAAGGGTGATGACCTGTCAGTGACAGACAAGTGATATAGTTGCACTACTTTTAGCCTGTAGTACAGATTTATGCAACTTTCTCGTTAAGCCAGCCATGCAGCACAGTTTTATGCAACTTTCTCGTTAAGCCAGCCTACCGGACATGACGTTGCATTGAGTTGATGCAGCGGATTGGTCAGGCATCCGCATACTGGTCTGAAGGTGGCGGGAGAGGAAGTAAAGCCATGTGATGAAAATATTTTGCAGAAGGTAAATAAAAGCGTAAAAAAAGAAATACCTATGAGGAGTTGTCGATTGATTTCAGCGATGCAGAAAAACAAACGCACGGAAAGGAGAACCAAAGAAAGTGTCAGACCACAGCGGAAGAAGACGAAACGAGAAGGTACAAAAACGGCGATCGATCAATGTTATATCTACGAGACAGTACACAGAAATATTGCGATCGATCAATGTTATAATATCTACGAGACAGTACACAGAAATATTATTGTTTTGAGACATGTTCTGCAACTAAGCATTATCCATGTACCTGAACAGGTCGGACTTGCTGTTCAACTTCAGCAGTTATTTTACTAAGGCACGACCAATTGACTATTAAAAACCTGGTCGTTAAATCGTCAACTACATTTAACCATCAGCTTAACGTACGTGTCATTAAACATGCTCTGGTTTCTTCGTTTTTCTACGAGAATTGGTGTTTCTGTTCTTACAGAGGACGCTGGAAATGTCAACTCCCCACCTCGGTACCACACTTTTTCTGACCCGGCTCATATTGAGCTGCTGCGGTCTCAACTCCTGACCTGGTACGACGAGGAGAAGAGAGAACTACCATGGAGAAGTCTGGTAACACGAACATAACGTATTATCTTGACCTGTTCCTTGGACTAGCAGTGTTATTTAGTCCAATTTTTCATTCAAACTAATTTTGTATAAAGATAATACTGATAGTCTTTATGTAATTGACTTTGAAATCTTTCAGGCGTTGACAGAACCAGATGTTGACATCAGGACTTATGGAGGTATGACACAAACGAATCATATAAATTGGTGTTTGAAGTCTGATTTTACAGGACTATTGTCTACTTTTGCTTAGTGTGGGTTTCAGAAATCATGCTGCAGCAGACTCAGGTTGCCACGGTGATTGACTATTATAACAAGTGGATGAAGGTAGATTTTTTT